TATTTTATTCATTACAGTTTATTCATTTTTCTATCCCAACTGTAGCCCCTCCCAATCCCACCCTCACTCCCTCTTATGCACCCATGCCCCGCCCCTAGTACATTGATAGGGGAGGTCCTCTTCCCCTTCCCTCTGACACTAGCTTATCATGTCTCATCAGGAGTGGCTGCATTGTTTTCACCTGTGACCTGATAAGACTGCTCCCCTCTCAGAGGGAGGTGATCAAAGAGTCAGACACTGAGTTCAGTCAGAGACAGTCCCTGTTTCCCTTACTAGGATACCCACTTGGATACTGAGCTGTCATGGGCTACATCTGTGCGGGGTTTTAGGTTATCTCCATGAATGGTCCTTGGTTAGAGTATTGGTCTGAGGAAAGATCCTTGTGCACAGATTTATTTCTTTTCTTTTTTTAAGTCAGAAAAAAAAAATGACAGCCTACAGACATAACCCTATATCTGTCAGAGGGCTAATATCCAGAATATATAAAGAACTCAAGAAGTTAAACAGCAAAAAAGTAAGTAATCCAATTAAAATTTGGGGTTCAGAGTTAAACAGATAATTCTCGATAGAGGAATATCAAATGGCAGAGAAACACTTAAATGTTCAACATCCTTAGCTATCAGGGAAATGCAAATCAAAACAACCCTGAGAGTTCACCTTACACCCATCAGAATGGCTAAGATCAAAATCTCAAGTGACAACACATGCTGGAGAGGTTATGGAGAAAGCAGAACACTTCTCCATTGCTGGTGGGAAAGTAAACTTGTACAACAACTTTGGAAATCAATCTGGTGCTTTCTCAGAAAACTGGGAATAGTGCTACTTCATATACCACTCCTATGTATATATACAAAATATGCCCAAATATACATGTTGCTCAATCATGTTCTTAGAAGCTCTATTTATAATAGCCAGAAACTGGAAACAGCCCAGATGTCCTTCAACAGAGGAATAGATACAAAAATTATACATTTACATAATATAATACTACTCAGCTATTACAAACAAGGAAATCAAACTTTTCAGGCAAATTGTGGGAACTAGAAAAGATCATCTTTAGTGAGGTAACCCAGAAGCAAAAAGGCACACATGGTATATACTCACTCATAAGTGGATATTAGCCATATAATATAAGATAAACACACTAAAATCTACATCCCAAAAAAAGCTAAATAACAAGGAAGACCCTAGGGATCCTCATTCAGAAGGACAAATGCGATAGATATTGGAAGCAGGAGAAGACAGGGAACAGGGCAGGAGCCTGCTACAGATGGCCTCTGAAAGACTCTACTGATAGAAGTATCAGCAGAGTATCAGCAGAGGCTGAGACTCAGAGCCAAATTTGGGCAGAGTGCAGGTAATCTTAAGAAAGAAGGGGGGAGATAGAAAAACCTGGACAGGAGCTCCAAAAGGAGACCAACACAGCGAAAGAAAGAAAGAAAGAAAGAAAGAAAGAAAGAAAGAAAGAAAGAAAGAAAGAAAGAAAGAAAGAAAGAAAGAAAGAAAGAAAGAAAGAAAGAAAACAAAATACTGAGCCCTGGGGCCCCTGCAGGGACTGATATGCCAGCCAAAGACAATGCATGGAGGGGACCTAAAACACCTGCTCAGATATAGCCCATAGACTCAGTCTCCAAGTGGGTTCCCTAATAGGAGCAGGGACTGTCTCTGGCATGAACTCAGTGGCAGGCTCTCTGATCACCTCCCCTGGGGGGGTGTAGTTTTGCCAGGCCACAGAGAAAGACAATGAAACCAGTTCTGATGAGAATAGATAGGTTAGGGTCAAAAAGAAGGGGAGCAAAACCTCAACTGTCAATGGACTAAGGAGGGGAATAGGGAGAAAAAAGGGAGGGAGGGTGGAATTGAGAGGAAATGAGGGAAGGGGACACCTCTGGGATACAAACTGAATAAATTGTAATAAATAAAAAAAAAAGTCCTGTAATCAGAGTGCAAATAAAAGTGAGATATTGCTCATTTCAATTTGTTCCACAGGACTCATATTCCAAGACTTCATTTACATCAAACGGATTTTTTTTATTAATTACACTTTATTCATTTTGTATCCCCCCATAAGCCTCTCCCTCCTCCCCTCCTGATCCCACCCTCCCTCCCCTTTCTGCATGCATGCCACTCCCCAAGTCCACTGATAGGGGAGGTTCTCCTTTCTGATCTTAGTCTATCAGTTCTCATCAAAAGTGGCTGCATTGTCCTCTACTGTGGCCTGGTAAGGATGCTCCCCCCCTCAGGGGGCAGTGATCAACGAGCAGGCCAATCAGATTATGTCAGAGGCAGTCCCTCTTCCCATTACTATGTAACCCACTTGCACACTGAACTGCCATGGGCTACGCCTGTGCAGGGGTTCTAGGTTATCTCCACAAATAGTCCTTGGTTGGAGTATGATTTTCTGGGAAGTTCCCTGTGTTCAAATTATCTTGTTCTGTTGCTCTGCTTGTGGAGTTCCCGTCCCCTCCAGCTCTTACTATAATTCACTTCTTCCATATACTGCTCATTATTTTTTTTTTAACATCAACAATTAACAGGACAGGATCACAATCATGCAGATAAGTGGAGAAGTTAAAAGTCAGGGCCAACACTTGTCTATATCCTATTATATTCTCCCATTTCTCCATTTCTTAAGTAAAACATTCTGAAAAGAGACACAGACCTTTAGGATTATTCTGAGGTGATGTACAGATAAAGTTATATTATTACCAAAGATTTATTTATGGGAAGGAAAGAGAGAAATAAAGGGGAGAGGAAAAGCAGTATGATGAGATGGGGGAAGAGGAGAGGCAGGGAACTTAGGAAGGGGATGGAGAAGGGAGGAGAAAAAAGAAGACTGGAGTGAAGAGAAGAAAGTTGAAGGGGTGGTCATGGCAATGGTGTACAGGAGTGCAGTCTCTATTCCAAGTATCAGCTTTTAAGTTTTCAATTGATTTGCACACTACAGAAAACATAAAATGACATGAGCAATCCAAACATCACGGGAAACATGTTGCCTCCCTTCTGTTCCTCATTTCTTTTTCCCTTTCTGTTGTTTCATCCTTTCTATAGTCTCATAAACAGTGAGACAGAGAAACTAACGTGGTAGTGAGGATAAACCACAGATTTTCTGAAACTAATATTGTAGTTGGAACACCTCCACTCACTGAAATACTAGCTATCGAAATTGGAATGGATTTCACACCATGGCTTCATAATAATTCAGTGAACACTGGCTAGCTAAGTGACGATGCTGATCTAAATATTTTATATGTATTATCTATTATCACTTCCCTGGCCAACATTCTAGGCAAGGAAGCTAACAATTCCTGTTGAAGAATAAGCCGACTCAAAGAAATGATAAACGTATTTACTGATGATCACATAGCTCTTAAAAAATCAGGAATTGAATTTGTCCTCAATTATTTCAAAGGCAGCTACCTTACTATTATTGAAATGTTCCTGACTTTGAAGACTGGTTACTCATTCATCTACTCTGAACTTATACTGAAAACTGTCATGCAGTAAGATTTTAATAAACAGATGATCTTATATCATAAAGGTTTTGCTATAGGGGCTGAGATATGAAATTATTTTCTATCAGATTGTGGAGGACAAGTCTAAAGCAATTTCGTAGTTTTGTTCTTATGATATAATTTCTTTAATTAAGAAATATTTATCTATGACAAATATGATAGACTAGTGTTCTTTCCTGATACTCTATCTCACTGGTTTTCTTTTAGAAATAACCCCCATGGTATTATTAACACACTATTCCTAACAGTGTCTCTATGATTCTGAGAAAGTTTAGAATGATAGAAGTCATCATGTGTCAAGAGTTATACAAACAAAAATTATTTATGCATTACTTAATTAAGAATCATTAATCAACCAATGAATATTTATTGGGTAAGTACTCTGAGACAAGAACTGTATATAAATGAACTATGTTTATTTAATTTTATAAGAAAAGAATCATATAAGAAATCTAATTCACAGATGTGATGTATGCAATACTATTTAGTGAAAAGAAATTAAGAGTCAGAAGCCATTATATGTACTTCTGAGTATAGTTAGTTAATAAAAGATCTGCAATATTAAGAATATTTTCAGTGTCTGGAAAATTGCTCTATATTAAATCAGTGTGATGGTCACATTAGACATAGCCTTTGGATTAAAGATAATCCCTTACTATTCAAATTCATAATTTATTCTCATATTACTTAGGACATGTTGTAGAGATGGGAAAACGGTTATGAACTGGAGTTTCTAATAAGTAGTGGAATCTAATTTGTCCTAGACCAGTAGCCAATAATCTGAATTTAACTGAATGAATACTAAGGTAACTCGTGTGTATGCTAATGTTTGAAAACAGCAGAAGTGAACTGCCAGCCCCTTTCCTTGGTGTTTGCTGCTATTTACAGGAATTCAAATAAGATTTGAATATCATGAAAAGCAAAGGAATTTCCCTAATGTTCTCTGCCAGACGTAGATATTTTACTGGCTTAAAGGCATCCAAACCTTTTCCTATTCGTTACATGAATAAAATAAACTACCTAGGGCAGGTTGGTTTCAATTCTAATTATCCATTGTGAACAATGGATGATAATTAGTCTTATTTTGGAGGAGAGCAGTGCAGGTTTTTCATTTGTAAGAATTGCTGATTAATTAAGCATGGAGACACTCCAGGCAATTTATTTTTAGGTGTCAGAGAAGAGTGAAGGGTATGTCAAATGCCCAATGAGCTGCCCACCGTCTTGTACAAGTGCACATTCTCTCTGGCAATGAGTGTGTTGTGTGGGGCACAATGTATTCATCATATATCCACAGCCCCAATCACTTTCATAGTATTAAATATTTTGCTGTTGTTGTTGTTATTTAAATTTGAATCAGAAAGTCCCACCATACCCAGCACTTGATATCTGTTTGCTAATTTCCCTTAGAGCAATGTTTGAATAATCAAAAGTTTTTTAAAAAATTAAAGCAAACCATTAAAAAAAAAAAAAAAAAAACAACCTTACTTTCCAAGGGCAAAGCATTCCAGTTTTACAGATGAATCCTTTGCAGCTTGTATTGTTTCTGGAAAACGCACTTCAATCTTTGGCTCATATTCCCCCATGACACCTGTTAAATACCAAAACAGCTAGCAGCATTTCTGGAGAATAGAAGTTTCCTACGAAGTAAAGGCTTCATTAATCAAATTGTGACTCTTGGATTTTAATTAGTTAGGATTTCCAATCATGAGATGGACACATGCTTCTGAGATTTCCACAAAGATCCTTCACTAGGGACATCCAGTTTCATCTTCTGTTTGTAGTACTCATGGGACCAGACATAGTCTTGGAGAAGGGAGGAAGATACAGTTAACACTATCAGAAGTCTGATACAGCACCACAATACAAAATACAACTATTTCTGCAGCAAACCCAATAAAGCAACTGCACAAGTGAATTTTAAAGATCTGTATTAAAATAGGTATAACAGGTTCTGCTGCTAAGTTCATAAATGTTTGTAAAGGTTCTATTTTCACCGCTTTAAGGTTCTAATAAGGAAATATTTAATTAAGGTCAGAACAAGCAGTGTTCTAAGATGTCATGAACACACAACCTACCAGAAGAGTTGCAACTAACAAAATTAGTTCTGGGTTATTTTCATCTGAATTAATCAATGCTATACGGGATTATTTTTAAAACTTCAACTATTTTATTAAGTGATAAGACAAACATCAGAGTAACTCATTTCTGCCACAAGTAAATGAATTTTGGGGGGTTCACTGAGCCTCGAGGAAGTACTGAAATTACAATCTAAATGTAAAATATAAATATCTAACTTCCAAAGCTTAATTGTTATAACATACCAATCCATGCTATTTCTGAAACTAAATTGGCCCCTTTTAATTTACTTTCCCTATTTTCTGAACAACTTGTAGTTCTTGCATGCCATCATTTAGAGAAGTTAAATATGATTTGTATTACACACGAAGTTTAAGATCTGTTTTTACCATTAATTGATGAAGGAAGCAGAAGATGTAGGAGAGTAAAGGAATTAAGGAGGGGGAATAAAAATTAAGAGTAAACAAAAATGGAACAGGAAAATGTTGTATAATCTCCATGCAAATAGTTAGCTAATACACTTTAACACTCATGAACAGAGTGCTCACAGAAAGGGATAAAATGAACTTATAAATCTAATGTTTGCTGATAAATGAATAAAAAAACAGACTCTTGCAGAAATATTTGAATTGTTACTAACTCTGAAATTACTGCCATGAAAACTCTGGGGAGCTGACTTCATAGTTCTGTTAGCTTGGTTATCATTATATCCTTGCTTGTCTTAAACTCTTCAGGGGGGACAAAATTCTATGAGGTATTGCCTTTCAACCTCAAAATCTGATAATAAAATGAACTAACAGATTTTTTATTTTTACATATCTCACTGTGAACATTTAATTAGAGACTCAACTAGAGGATTTTTCCACTTAGTTGATTTCCTAGCTCTCTAAATCTTGCATGAGCTTTGACTTGACTGTAGCTACAAAGCTCATCAGAGGTCAATCTGAGTCCCACTCCTTAGAGATACAATTTAGAATGAATCTTCCACTCTATCATTGTTTGGAATGCTTTGTTTTCCTTAGGCACAATATTTCTTGTTTTCCATTTTGCCAGCCAGGTAAATAAAAGGTGAACAACAGCAGCAGAATAATGGCAAGGATGGAAAAGAAAGAGGATATTAAGAGAGGTTGCAAAATGTGTCCATCAATTCAAGTATGAAAATTTGGCATATTCCACATTCACACACACATACACACGCCAAGTCCCCTCAGACAAACATCTTTTTTTTTTTTAATCAGTCCTTGAGCAATGAGAAGACAAGCTCTTCTGGTGCCAGGAACAAAAAGGCACACTATACCCAGAAACGTGAATTGTACCATGTGGGTATTGAACTACAGAATTTTCTTTTTCGATATTACTTATGTCTCATCTCCATTGTGTTTGAGAATTTCATCTAAACCCTTGTGATTTCAGATCCAATCATAAGAAGAAATAAAAAGGCCCTGAAGACCTTCCCACAACATAGGGAGTCCCAAAAAGGAGTCTGAAGATAATTCATGGTCTTACCATCAGTGCGCTGCACTAAAGGGGTGGGTGGTCCTTGGACACTTCTGTGAGCCTCATTGTTTGTGATGAAGCAAGTGTAATTGCCCACATCGGATGGCTCTACTTTGGCAATGTACAAGTTCCCTGTGTCTTGAGATACAAATCGCCTCGTGTCCTCTTGAACATACAGGGGATTATCATTGAATGTCCAGGCATATGATAAATCTGAAAAATAGAAAAAGAGAAAATGCACTATTTTTGCTGCAAATAGTCTCATCTACAAACTCTGTGTTCTGTTTAATCATAATAAAAGTCTGCCTAGATTGGTCTAACTTATAGCTACACAAAACAAAGTAAATAGATTATTCCCTATATCCACAGATAACACAGTTTGGGAGATACAAAATTACCTTCTCTATCACCATTTTCTTTGATTAAAAATACAATTATAGTGTAGTGAGAGGATAAATAGGTAAGTTTCTTTAGGAAAATCCATAGAATATATAAAACATTTCTGGCTGAATGGGTCACAGAAAATTCTTCAGTGCTGCTCATTTCAAAGCAGTATTTTGCTTATGAGTCTTAGTATCTGCTTTGATACACTGCTAGGGAGAGTCTTTCAGAGGCCCTCTGTGGTAGGCTCCTGTCCTAGGTCGAATGCACATCCCATTTGTCTTTCTAAGTGAGGATTGATCATCTTACCCCGTGTCTGCTTTCTTGTTTATCTTCTTTAGGCATATAGATTTCATTATGTTTATCATAGCTTATAGGTCTATATAAGCGAGTATATACCATGTTTATCTTTCTCCTTCTGGAATACTTCACTCAGAATGATCTTTTCTATATCCCACCATTTGCCTGCAAATTTCATGATTTCCTCATTTTTTTTAAATCTTTTATTTTTTTTTATTAATTACACTTTATTCATTTTGTATCCCCCCATAAGCCCCTCCCTCCTCCCCTGCCGATCCCACCCTCCCTCCCCTTTCTGCATGCATGCCACTCCCCAAGTCCACTGATAGGGGAGGTCCTCCTCTCCTTCTTTCTGATCTTAGTCTATCAGTTCTCATCAAAAGTGGCTGCATTGTCCTCTACTGTGGCCTGGTAAGGCTGCTCCCCCCTCAGGGGGAAGTGATCAACGAGCAGGCCAATCAGATTATGTCAGAGGCAGTCCCTCTTCCCATTACTATGTAACCCACTTGGACACTGAACTGCCATGGGCTACACCTGTGCAGGGGTTCCAGGACATCTCCACAAATAGTCCTTGGTTGGAGTATGAGTCTCTGGGAAGTTCCCTGTGTTCAAATTATCTTGTTCTGTTGCTCTGCTTGTGGAGTTCCTGTCCTCTCCAGCTCTTACTATTTCCCACTTCTTACATAAAATTCCATTCACTCTGCCCATCAGTTGGCCATCAGGCTCAGCATCTGCTTTGACAGTCTATACTGCAGAAGCTTTCAGAGGCCCTCTGTGGCAGGTTTCAAGGTTGTTTCCTGTTTTCTTCTGGCTTTCAGAGGCCCTCTGTAGCAGGTTCCGAGGTTGTTTCCTATTTTCGTTTTCTTCTGATGTCCATCCTCTTTGCCTTTCAGGATGGGGATTGAACATTTTAGTTAGGGTCCTCTCTTTTGCTTAGTTTGTTTAGATGTACAGCTTTTAGTGGGTTTATTCTATATTGTATGTTTATATGAGTGAGTATATACCGTGAGTGTCTTTTTGCTTCTGGGTCAACTCACTCAGGATGATCCTTTCCAGGTCCCACCATTTACCTGCAAATTTCATGATTTCCTTATTTTTCATTGCTGAGTAATACTCCATTGTATAGATGTACCACAGTTTCTGCATCCATTCTTCAGTTGAGGGGCAACTAGGCTGTTTCCAGCTTCTGGCTATTACAAATAAAGCTGCTACAAACATGGTTGAACAAATGTCCTTGTTGTGTACTTGCGCCTCTTTTGGGTATATGCCTAGGAGTGGTATGGCTGGATCTTGAGGGAGCACTATTCCTAGTTGTCTGAGAAAGCGCCAGATTGATTTCCAGAGTGGTTGTACCAGTTTACATTCCCACCAGCAGTGGAGAAGGGTTCCCCTTTCTCCACAACCTCTCCAGCATGTGTTGTCCCTTGAGATTTTCATCTTGGCCATTCTGATGGGTGTAAGGTGAAATCTCAGGGTTGTTTTGATTTGCATTTCCCTAATGGCTAATGAGGTTGAGCATTTCTTTAAGTGCTTCTCTGCCATTCGATATTCCTCTGCAGAGAATTCTCTCTTTAGCTCTGTTCCCCATTTTTTAAGTGGATTACTTGGTTTGTTGCTTTTCAGCTTGTTTAGTTCTTTATATATATTGGGATTTCCTCATTTTTGATTGCCGAGTAGTATTCTAAGACTCATAACCAAACCATCAGCAGGGAATCTTATGAAAGAAAGGGAATCATATGAAAGAAAGGGAGTTAGTATGATGTGGAAAGGATAGGAGCTCCACAAGGACCAAATATATAGGAGAACAGGGGTCTTTTCTGAGACTGACACTCCACCAAGGACCATGTATGGATATAACCTAGAACCTCTGCTCGGATGTAGCCTGTGGTACCTCAGTAACCAATTGGTTTCCCATAGTAAGGGGAACAGGAACTATTTCTGACATGAATTCAATGGCAGGCTCTTTGACCTCCCCCCCCCCAAGGGAGGAGCAGTCCTGCTAGGCTACAGAAGAGGACTTTGAAGTCAGTCCTGAAGATACCTGATAAAACAGGGTCAGATGAAAGGGGAGGAGTTCCTTCCCAAACAGTGGACTTGGAAAGTGGCAGGGAGGAGATGAGGGAGGGAGGATGGGATTGAGAGGGGATGAGGGAGCGGGATACAGCTGGGATACAGAGTTAATAAATACAACTAATAATAAAAAAAAAGAAAGTTGAAAGAGAAAATTATCCATAAATACAAAAACATTTCTAAAACAAACAAACAAAAAACAGTGTTTTGCAACATGTCTTCAGAAGCCTTGGACATATTTAGAAGTTGTAGCTTAAAGTTTAATTAAAAATTGCCTCAATACTGTATATCTTGAATTTATTCTGTGAATAGAATATAATTTCTGAGCATATTTCTGTAATTATTTTAATACCCTGTAATAAAGCAAAACATGTGCCTTAGAAAGGGCACAGGAGTAACTGCTGATAGATAGGTGTGTGGATACACTCAATATGAAATGGCATATGATTTTACAGGGACATTTTAGGAAAACTGGATGAGATGGTTAGTTTGAAATGTTAGTTTTCCACACCTTAGAATCATCTGGATTGAAATTCTTAGCTGAGGACTTATCTAGATCAAGTAAAGCTTGTTGGCATGATAGTAGGAGGCTGTTGCCTCCCGGAGCCCACCGTGGGCAGCGTCATTCCTGTGCTGATGTCTAAGACTGGATAAAGCTAACTGAACACTAGCAGGCCAGCATGTACTTTCTTTCTGCTCTTGTCCATGGATCTGGTGTGAGAACTATCAGGGTTCAACCTTTATTTTCTTTCAGTTACGGGAAGTAGCCTGTCATCCATAAGTTAGTGGAATAAACCCATCTATTCTTAGTTGTCAACTTGACTGCTTCTGAAAATTAACTAAAACTAAAAATGGTGTTGCACACCTGTGAGGGATTTTTGTTTAATTTAAAGTGGATAGATCCACTTAAAGTTTGGTTCCTTCCAGAGGAATCGACACACCTTTAATCCAAACCTTTACAGTTGGAAAAACCCACATCTAATCTTGGCAATGCCTTGTGCTGGAAGCCTATATATTAACATGGGAAAAGTAGCATTTGCTCTTCGCCTGCTTGCTTTTACTTTCCTAGTAAGTTACTTTTCTAACTGCCATTAGAGCCTACTACTTTGTCATTCTAGAGTATACTGAAGACCAGCTTAGACATCCATCCTCATGGACTGAACAACTACTGGATTCTTGAACCTTCTGTTCATGGGCAGCCATTGTAAGATTAGCCTGTACATCATGTAAGTCATTCTGACAAATACACATTCGTTGAGTACAGAGAAATTCATTCTATAAATTAGTTTACTTTGGAGAACCCTGACTAATACACAGCCCTATATTGTTTTGTATTTATCAGAGCATTACTTTTAATACAGCAACAGGAATGATTCTAGAATACAAAAAAAAAAAAAAGAAGTGTGCCCTCTTCTTGAAATACCTTCAGAGAAGGTATTTTAGAATTACTAACTCCATATTGATACCATGAAGGGGAACAATCAGAAGAGCAGACAAGTAGATCAACATAGGACCCAAGAAACAAGAGCAAAATGTTCAAAATGAAAGACATGAATTATATGTATCAAATATCAATCATTTAGTACTTCTGAAATGACTACATGAACATTGAATTACAGAAATAAATATGTAGTGAATAAAAATAAAATACAGATTTTAACTGTTTGGTTAAATGAGGTATAAATATTATATATGTCTAGAAAACAGAATCCTAAACAAAAATATAAACAATTGGCATCTTTTAGAAATGTTCTTATGCTTCTGTCAGATTAATATTCAACTATGGGAACCACAGTCTGATTTGAACTATTAGATTACCTTTGCTATTGTTTATAGATAATGAAAATGGACTCTGTGTATATTAGAGATTATTTTTTATTTCATATTTTAAGCATTGACTTATGTTACCATACTATCCACATATTCTATTTATTACTAAGTAGTAAGTCATTTTATAAACCTACCACCTTGTTATTGATGAGTTTATGAGTTTTTTCAGTCTCGGTTATCAGAGATTTATAATTGAAAATTATTATGACTGTTTGTGTTCATTTTCATTATCTTAGAGAAGATATTAGACATGAACTATGAAGCAAATATAGCTTTTATGTATTAAATATACAAGTAACTTAAAATTTATCTTAGTTTACAGGAAGCTTGAAATCTCTATTTTCAACTAAAAACAGAGAGAGGTTCTCCCACCTCTCTCTCCCCCACCTCTCTCTCTCTCTCTCTCTCTCTGAGTCTAAACAAATACTCTAGTAGATACATCAAAGCTTCAGGAATCTATGAAATTAGGAATACCACGGGAAATATATAGAGAACCATGTCCAAGAAAACTGAAAAATATGTTTATTTTTTTTCAGTGTTTTCTTTTTTTTTTTTTGAATTTTATTTTTTTCTTATCAGTTACATTTTATTAACTCTGTATCCCAGCTGTGTCCCGATCCCTCATTCCCTCC